AAGAGATAATTTCAATCTTTATTACCCTCTGAACCTGAGAGTACAATTACGTGGAGTTGTCAAGACTATTCCCTAGGCACTTGAAAAATTGGAAAACAAATAATATATACTCCCAAATTTTAGGTATTTTCAGATATATTCTACAACATTGATTTTGAGATACAAAGTACATATATTGTGTTTAAAAACACATGCCTTTTGAAGGGAGATATTTATTGTTCACTGGGTGAGATGTATTAAATAGAACAATAAGATTCTAATATAGTGTTCAGTTCAATAAACATGGAATATCTGCTAGGTACCAGCCTCTATGTTAAATCCTAGTGATGCAAAAATGAATAAGACATGGTCTAGGGTCTCAAAAACTTTATAGCTTTGCTTAGAAAGCAGACAGAAACATAGATTATTTCAATATAATCGATATGCACAAGAGAAAAAGTAACATGCCATAAATCTTTCTTCTAGGAATTTAGATGTGAAAATTCTTCTGGGAAGTTAGATACTGATTCATCTTTGTTTTTACACAATGAACATTTTTCTGAAATAGGTGCAAATCTAACATGTAAATTGAATTGTATTTTCCTTGATTAATGCTTCGGGAGCATATTTCATTGCGATTTCTATGTCTTTCTCTCATTTCGTTTATTTTCAATAGGTGTTGGATTTTCCTGCTAAAATTCTTTCTCTCTTTTTTCCACTTTTCCTGTCAAGTAGTTAATCATTTTAAACCCATAAATTCACTAGAAGTACTTGCTATTTGAAGGACCCCTGAGGTGAGTCATTATTTAAACTGAAAATCGCCTTGTTTGAGGAAAAGTTACTTTTTATTTTTTATCTATTTTGCAAAAATAACTATTCACAATATTTTCTTAGACAGAGTATTCAAAGAAAAAAGTTAGCTTTGGTGAATATTTTCTCATTATCATACATTCATCAATTCAATTAATATTTGTTGAGATGCTATCAAGTATTATTATAACGGAATCATATGAGGCTTTTACTTCATACTCCTGTGTCAGATATAGACCAATGGGCAGAGCATTGGAATACAGATGAGTAAATGTCATAATACCGGTATACTCTAGGTGCTTTGCCAGCTAAGGAAACCTAATTCAAAAGAGGGATAGAGGTGGGAGGAGAGCACAGTAAGACAGGCTTCTTAGAGAGTGGACACTACTACTTCTTGATGAATGTGCAAGTGGAGGGTGCTGTCACATTACAAATGGAGAATAATTTCTGTAACAGAATGGCACATAGAAGGCATGGTATAATAAGGGGAATTACCAGAGACTCTCATTGATGTACATTCTAGATTAAAGGAACATATGAAGGTGCAGCAGGAAATGAGGCTGGGAAGGTAAGACATTAAAGGGCCTCGTGTGCTACATTAAGAAGATCACTTTATCTTCTAGGGATATGTAGGTAGCTTCAGTATTTAAACAATAGAACGATATTGCCTCATTTATATTTTAGGAAGAGTACTCTAACAGCAGTTAATGGTCTAGACTTGCTGGAACAAATAATCTAAGAAATGAAAAATGAAGATTATTTGGAAGATATCTTCAATGCCTGTGTGCTTTGTAAACCAAGTTTTATCAACTAGCACAGTTAGGTTTTAACCATAATATTTTTACTGGGTAAATTAAACTAGATATTCACTGAAGCTTTTATATTACCATGGTTTCTTATTTCCAGTTGCTGTCCACTCCCCAATCCAAAAATGCTTTCTTAGGTCTGAGAGTCACACTAGAAATATCTGCTCAGTTTGGGCATAGGCTCTCTTGACTCTCTTGGCTCTTCACCTATGATCCCTACTGCTTCCTGCTCTTCATGGAAAGGCTCTGGAGGGCAGACACTTCTCCTATTTCATTTTACAGTTGATGTTGCTATTGCTGGATCACATGGACAGAGTCCCAAGTTCTTTCAACAAAACAAAGACTTGCATGAGATGTGACAGGTCTATAGAGCTACTTATCAACATGGGAAAGGCAAGGGAGTTGGCACTTCCAGGAATATGACAGAAAGAAAAGGAAGAATAAAAAGCTGCTATCACACCTGCCATAGAGGGCAATACAAGATATGTGATATGGCAGGGCAGAAAGCTAGTAAAAGAGTTGAGTGCTGGGTGAATAAATGGCATATTTAGAGTAGCAGAAAGTGTGTTAAAAACATTTTTTAGGTTATATTACTCCTGTAATGAAAGAAAAGAGTCATTCTTAATCTCATGATTATCACAGTTCATTAGAAAATCTCCACCATTAAGGATCTGCAACACCAGCTGCAAATTGCTTTTAATTCTCTAGTATGAAAACACAGAAGGCCATTTATGTAGATTATCTAGCAAAGACCAAGGAGTTTTTGGGACATTTTCTGAATGCTGTGGATTGATATTTTATTTTAGATCTCTGCTGTGTAGGATTAAAATAACAATAGATTTGCCTCTGGAAATAGTTGAAATTTTATATGATAAGAATTGTTTTAGAGTAATTAATGGGATCATGGGTTAGATTTGGGGCGAGAAAACTAGTAAGACATTATCACAGCTAGGAATGATGAATGATGTCTTTCTGGAGAAGGCAGAGCATCAGCGGATGCGGATGGTGAGCTGAAAGCTGTTCTAGAAGAGGTCGGGACATACAACTGCAAAGTGTGTGTGTGGTGCTTCAGGGTGTTGGATATGGCTGAGTCCTAAACTGGGAGCGCAGGCATATTACAGTTAAAGCTGGACATACAGGCTGGACCCTGAGCTTAAGAAACTTGTATACAGGCTAAGGAAGACATTAAGAGTTGAGGTGTGAGAGTCACTGATGGATGGTAATCAGGGGAGTAATTTGACTAGTTATGCATTTTATAAAGATCTCTTTGATGGCTTTATCAAAATGGATTGGGGCCAGTAGAATTTGTGTGAGAGATGGCACTTGGGTAGTACTGCAGTGGTCTGGAGCAGTGGCAATAGTGATATAGCTGAAAAACATTTCAGGAATTAAATGGGCAGTACTTGGTGATTGCCCTGAATAGAGTCAGGACTGTTGGGAGATATGGGAACCAGTTTTAGTGAGAAGGTAATTAATTCCATTCGAGACATGTTGAGTAAGAGTAGAAAATATTTATATTTTTTTTTAGTGTTATTTTTGAACAAAATGATCAGTTTGTGAAGTAAACTATAGTCAGAAGAGACACAGGTTGTATAAACAGCTCCCAACTGTAGAGAGATGACTGAGCATAGAGCTCAACAAAGAGCTGAGTTTCAGTTTCAGAGCTTTATTTCTTGTGAGTTTCTGTTTTTGAATGTGGATATGATTTTGGGTGGCAGAAATTTTGAACTAAGGACAGACTATGATGAGAATGTCTGAAATAGCTTTTAGTAAATCTTGTGTGAATAGAAATAATTTATAAGCTCCTAAGTTCTTATAAGCAATATTAATAATTCTTTACTTTTTGTCACAGATTTAATCAGTAGTAACTAAAATGTCTAAGTTCCTTTCTACTGTAACTCATCATATGATCAAATTCTTTAGAAAAACAAAATTACGGGTCTAGCTTCACTTATTTCATCGCATGGCAGCTTTCCAATGGGCCTCTCTTCTATATTTTTCTCTGTATAGATCTTCACTAGTTGAGACAATGTGCATGTTTATATCAATTCTATTCCATATATAGAGAGATTTTCTTCCCATCAACAAAATAGGGAATGTAAATTACTTGTATTTCTTCTAACTGGTATTGGATTATCTTTGACTCTACACCCTAATTTCCCTCTTGTAACCTGTACATTGACCAGAAGAGAAATTGTCTCTTTGACCATCATGTGACTCTTAGCAACTTACAAATGAAATACAGATTTTTCGAAATGGCTATTTATTCAAACAAGTCTAGCAGTAAAAATTCATTTTCATTGTGAACATGTTTTGCTAAAACATATTTAGCAAAATATGTCTTTAAAAGAGGACAATTATCAGTTTTTGAAGCCATTATGCCAAAAACCTCAGCATATTTGTAATCCACATTTGGATCCCATGGTTTTCAATAACAGAAATATCACCAAAATCCTCTGTTAACTAAGCAGGCAGGAGTCCTGATAGTGTCAGAAGATCGTGTAGCTCAGGAGTGGTCCAGGCTGGATAACTTCCCTTTTCCTTAAGGCCCAGCAAAGAAATTTTTGGCTCAGGAGAGCTTGTGGCCACTGAAAGACTGAGCTATACCAGACCCTCCTAAATCTTTTCTCTCCCAAGTAGCTGGCTTATCCTAGTAAAAATTACTCCAGATTTAATTTCTATTTCAATAAACGTTTTAAAGTTTCTAGAGGGGTATTTAATTTTTACTATTCACTACATCTACATTATAGAAACAGTCAATATTCATAAAGATTACCCCCAAACATGAAATGTTGAATCAAAGCAATATCATATTTGTTCTAAAGTTTCTAAGGCAGTAAAGTAGATTTTTATAAACAATATGGGGTAAAATTGTTTTTCTTAAAGGTTACATCTAGTTCAGCCAGAATGCCTTATATTTGACCTCTTTGGTTAACTATAGTTTCACTATATGAGTTTACTGAGAGCACAACTTTCTGTTAGATGGACAGAGGGAATTATCTGGATTTATGGAAGGTACATGTGATAATGAAATATTTAAAATGCAAATGTCAGAAATCCTTTGTACTTCAGTGTATTGAATATGTTCAAGTCTATTTGGCATAAGGAAGCCAAGTAAGAAATTATGTGTTTAAGGATGGGAAACTACCCAGTCACCTGGAACATCATATCACTTACCTATGCCAATGAGAAATTGAAAATGCCCTAAATGAAGGCAAGCAGAATGGTAATGTGCCAACCCAACCTATCAAAGAAAGAAATGGAGAAAACGTGAGGTTCTCAAATTTTATATTAAGACAATAATGTTACACAGTTTACATATACCTTTTTTTAAATACAGAAAGAGAGAATTCTAGCTGCTTGAAGAAATGAAGGAGCAAGTCAGAATGCAATGACAGCTTTATACCACAATAATGGGATGCGTGTCTTTGGAGTGGAATGGAGCAACTGCAAAGTAAAGATCAACTTCATTAATTATGACCAGTTAATCAGATTATCCTTTTGGCAAAGTCTGTTGGAATCTGTTGAAGTTTGAAATCTTCTGAGAAGCATAGAAACTTGAATATTTCTCAAGGAATCTTACTTACGCGAGGTCTAGAAGATTAATCTTCTTGGTTTATTTACTTATTTATCTTAAAACTCAGTCACTTTAGTAAAATAAGTATTTGTATTGATTAATCCATGTCAGTTTTTCCTGGGGTACAGCTGCAATTTCAACCTATAAATTCAAGTGTTCTTTTATTTTGAAATTATTTCCCTTATTTATACATTTAAATTTTGGGCTCACTATTTTATTTCTAAACTTTAGTGTTATCAGTATTCATACTATGAATCTCCCTGTTCTTTTTTTGTGTTTGTTTGTTTAATGATTTATAATTTATGTATAGTAAAATTCACCTTTTTTTATACTAACTCTGTAGTTTGACAAGTTGTGACAAATGCTGTATGATCAAACTAAAGAATATCATTTATCACCCCAAAACTTTTCACATGCTTCTTTGTAGTCACAGAATCTTTCTTCCCTAAAACTTTTTGCATTAGTGATCATGTTTTTTGATCAATCTGTTCTTGTTCCCCGTTGTGTGCAATTACTGAATGGCTAACTAGGAAAAAGGCTTACTCTTCATATTTATGACATGATTACAAATTAAACAGCAATTAATGCCACTTTTGTGTGTCTTAATTGGAACATTAAAAAGATGACAGGGAAAAGTTATAGGTCTTATAATACAAAAGTGATAACATTTATTTAAAAATTATTTTAAGGGAAAGATCTGAGAAGACCTGAACTAATCAAATTTATTTTAACAGTTTTTGTAGAAAACATGTTTTGCTAGCCATTTGATCTTGATAATAACTCTTAGACTGTAATTCATGGATATATACACATGAAAGGCGTATCAAATACAATATTTGGCTGGCATTGGCATCAATCTACATAGATATTTGAATAAATCTTCAAAAGTCTGTTATGGCAACAGGAACACTGAGCATAAACTTCTTGACCCATGTGACCTACTCATGTTGGAATTGTTTGAAATGTGTCTTTATCTCAGCCCAACCCTTTCCAATGGAGTTGTTTTTATGACTTCTCAATTTCATGCTTCTGGATGTTTATATTTAATGATATACACACTGATTACTTGTTTCATTTTTTTTTTTTACATTTTTTCACATTTTAAAACAGCAAATATTTATTTAGTTTCCAAGTTAGATGATGGGATAAGGAACCTCTGTTTCATTTTAAGACATGAATTAGGTTCACAAAAATATAGTATTAACAAAGATATCACTAAATTGTCTTTATATCTAAACTGTGAATCCTTCAGAATAGAGAATACATGTTTTTTTTACTACAGTCTTTTTTTACCTAGAAAATAGAACATCAATCAATATTAGTTATGAATGAATATCACACTTGCATTGTGGAAAATCAACCTAATTAATAAGTGTCAGGAAAATTTGAGTGAATTAGACATACAGAAACTTTTTTTAAAAAATGCTTATTCTAGGCATTTGAAAGTAGGTATATGAAAAATACAAATGAAGGAGATTGGAGTTGATTTGACCAACGCAATATTCATTACTCCTTTCTGTTCTTTCACATGTCATTACATGACTTTTTCTGTCTCTAAATGGAAAGATTCCCTTTCGTTGAAATCCTGTAAAGCAACTAAGAGTCATAAGCACTTCGGTTCTTCCCATGAGCACTGCTTATGTTCATAAAATGCTTTTCATATGGACATGCCTTTAGTGTCCTATGAATAATTAGCTGGTTATGGTTAAAATTTCAGAAAGGGATAGACTTCCACATTTCAACACTATCAGGGGAATTTGAGATATTAAAGTTTTGCTATCTAGCATAACCTGTCTTATTTGGACCTTTTGCCAACAGTAATAACTGGGTTTCTATTAGTCACTATGCAGATGAGAAAAAGAGACTTACTGCGGACTCCCAGAGCAAACTAACGTAGAATCATTTGCCTGTATTTAGGTAGATCATGATCTAAGTTAGGTGCTTTTTAGATTTCTTAACTCTATGGGTTAGTTAAACTACGAGCTCCAATCTATATAATCAAGTACCTTCATGGATAAATTATATCCTTAAATCTTCCTTTCACACTATTTCAAATCACCTTGCTAAACTGCTTTTTATCAAAGTTGTTGTGGATGCTATAAATACTATTTGTTTCAAAATGTTTACAATGTTAATCAAGACTGACTGACCTCTTTAATGAAATATTTCTCAGATTAGCTCATTCTTTGGGATGAGTTTCTATCAATTGTCAAGCCTTTTCTTAAACAATGTTTGGGAATATCATTCGATTTATCTTCATTGTACTAACTGCAGTATGGCTCTTGCAAGAGCTAGGCAGAAATATAGATATTAGAGAAACTGAAAGAACAATTTATTTTCCGAGGCATGTTCCCCTTAAGTGGCATTTGTTTAACCTTTTCTTTAATTGAAGATGTTGAGCTTATGGTTGTTAACACATTATGAAAAGAAACTTTATAATGGCGAAACACTGGAAGGCATTTTCAAATAGTGCTTCTTTTTTTTATGTATTTGTTCCTCAAGGAGCAGATGGTACCAGCCATGGCCCTGTCTAGACCCATCCCCAAGCTCGCTCGACAAATGTAAGAACTCTCCTGTTTGCCTGAGGCACATGATAAAACTTCTATTCATAGGCTTGCATGTGTTATTATGCTATCACATTGTCATGGGAAGGACAGAAATGGCATGTGAAATTTTCTGAGAATCTTAATTTTTTGATGAGATATTAATCAAATATCTACTTAGGGTGAAAACCTGAAGATTATTACATAAATCTTGAATTAGCAAAATGTTATTTAGGAAAGTTCAGCTTATCAGGTGCACTATATATTCATTCCTTTCGAGCTCTCTGGCTTCTGTTAGCAATCAGAAGAATGGCATATGTATATATATAGAGAGAGAGATAAACTATATCTTCTTAAGGTTAATATATTTTTATTTTTAAGAATGTTCAAAAACGATCCAAATTGGGATTTGGATGGTTTGTGACCATCCTTTTTTTTATTTCTGTGGTCTGAGAAAATGTGTCTAGTTTATTTGTCTTTATCTCAGATTTAAAAATTATAAATAAAAAAGAAAGTAACCCTGTTTTCTACTCCTCTTCTAAAAGCAGAACTTATTCAACATTTGATCTAGTATGCCAACACTAAAATTTAGACAATGTCTAAGAATATTACTGTAAGTCAAAAGGTTTTTTTTTTTTTTCCCATGTATGTTTCTCTTTGAGCTTTTGCTGCATACTTGATTGAAGGTCATGCTCTACTAGAAGTATGACAGTGACACCAGTCAACTCATATCAGTTCTGCTTATTGGGGTTTTCAGAATAGTCTAACAAAGGTCATCTCACTCCTAACAAACTACACTGAAATTTGGGCTCTCCATTAGATTGATGTTTTTGTGACTATGCCGAAATTTTGGTAGGATATTTATGCAATGATGTGGATTACTGAAATAAACCAGTCTGGATAGAATAAATTCTGGGGTGGAGGTTAATCATTAAAAAAAAAAAAAGATATTTGTGTTATATTGCCGAACAAGACAGACTTTTTTTTCTAAATCGTGTTCTGGTTTGCCATCGTAAAATAGAGACACATTTTTTTTCATAATCACTTAGTTTTTTTACAATTGGCATAAGTAGTAAAAAAGGAGAGTAAAAATAAATCTATAAGATTCCCTTCCCTGACAAATAGTTTATAAGTCATAACAAAAATGTACCTACTTATATCCCTCAAATTAATTATTTTAATTGATAAGAGCTGCTTAAATGCTTGATAAATGCAAATGCGACATAATTTTTGTCTGGAAAGTATTATTTTTTTTTAATTAGAAAAATATATTTGAAAAATTCTCTTACCTATTGATTGTACCGGGAGTACTTGTGAAAATAAGTGCATTGAGAGTTGATAGATGAAGGAAATTTCCGATTAAAATATCAAAATACTTTTATAGCAATTTTCTTCTTGCTTTTATTTCTTTGTCCTCTCTCCCTGTTTTTGCTGCCAATTCTTATATCTCTTACCCATTAAGAGTTTGCTAGCTTTGGAGAATTGAATCACTCTAGAGTCAGCATGTGGTGAGTTGATTATTGTAACATAGCCGGAAAAAAGCTTAGAGGTGGTTTTATATGTGGGACAGAAAGATACCTCTAAACAAAGACTCTTTGAAAGATTAGCTGCATAATTTGTAGGCCTGTTGTAAAATGAAAATGCAAAATTTCTTGTTTTAAAATTATTAAGAATTTCAAAATGGTGATAAAAGAACATTAAACTAAGGGGAGGCCCTTTGTGACTCCCTAGGCTGATGCCCATAAAATCATTGCTGACTCATTGTCCTGAGAGCCTCTTAATTATTCTCTTCTCCTGTTTTAATTTTTAATATATTTTTCATTAAAGTATAGCTGGCAAACAATATTATATATGTATATAATACAATATATAATATGCAATATATAATATATACATAATATATATAATACATATAATATATATAACGTAGTGATTTGACATTTATATTTCTTAAGACGTGAACACCAAACTAAGTCTACTAACCATCTCTCGCCATGCAAGGTTATCACACTATTCTTGAGTATATTCCCTTTCACTTTTTTCACCCATTCTCTGTTTTAAATCACCGAAGAATATCTATTCTCTCATTTGTCATAGACTGAGCAACTGTCTTTCCTCTCCCTTCAGTTGTTGGAATTCTTATTTTTGTCTGTCAGTTTATGATTCATATACTACCTCTAAATTGCCCTTCAATATCTTTTTTTGACAACTAATTCCAGAACATCTTTCTACTTAACTGCCTTCTTTGATTTTCCTTCTCTCTTTTGAAAGCAGCTTTCCTGCTCTCCTGCCTTCTGTGTACTAGTGGTTTTAATACCCTGCTTTGTCTTCAATCCAACATTCTATTGTCCCAGGATTTTTAAATGTTCTGTGGATGACTGGGATGAGTCACACGTGTTAAGACTAGATAGTCAAACCAAGATTCCAATATGTCCATGTTCCTCTTTCCC